TTAAGAAGTCGAACGGAGTTCGGGGGACCTGAATACCTGCCCCAATATCAGACAGCTAACCAAATTTATCAGCTCTCAACCTGGAACAAGGGAGACGAATGAGGGGACTAACCTGCGGAGCAGCCTCCAGGACGGTCACCTGGTGTCCCTTTTCTCGCAGGGCAATAGCGGCTGCAAGGCCCGCAATGCCCGCACCAACAATGACAATAGCAAGTTTCTTTCCAGCCATACTGATCCGTTATTACCAAGTTCTATGAAAAGTTCTTTTTGGCGCTCTCGAGAGGTAGGGAAAGGGTATATAAAGTCCCACCATGGCCGTCTTCTGCCCTCGATAGACCCGCCCGATACTGCACTGCTCCATAACGGCCCGTAGCAAAGTATCACCTGGCCAGAAATTTATTGTCAAAATCTACGCGGCCTAGTACAGTGCATTGGTGTAGACGGTTTCCGCATTGTAAGGGAAAGTGTGTCGGAGAGGGGGTCCGTAATCGAATAATCCGCCTGATCCTTTCACGGAGCGAGCTTCCGAGGAGGCATTGCTCGATGCGCGCCTTTTCCCCAAGCGGCCGTGGGTTTGCTAATCGAGGGGAAGCTAGGAAATCCTGGGGGATCCGATGAGACGAGTTATCTCACCAGGCGGAAACAGAATCACTGGATGGAAAATTGAGTAGATTGATTGACGGAATCGTCACGAGAGCAACTATCCACATCCTTCGAGCGACATATGCAGAGTTGTTTGGGAGATAATTACTTCTCCAGCGAGGACACAACATGAGATAAGCTGGCGATTACGTATCTTCCGAGGGAACAGGAAGAAAATGGTTAATAGAAGCAAAACATGCAAACCGAGCCGGTCAGGAAGGAGACTTCTGTAGTTTCTATTATTGATTGGAAGAATTCCTAATAATCTTGAATGAACGTTTCATTTCTATCATTTCTATACGGGATCCACTCATTTCAATTAGGATTTAACACAAGGGTGAAGTCTGTCGCATCAAGTACTCACACCATACTATAATCTTAAACACGCATAAAGCAAGTCATGAATACTAACGATTCCGAAGGATAGAAGTCAAAAACATCACATCTCGAGCAGTCAATACAAATATCTGCCCGTACCGAGTAGTCGTAATGTCTCCATCACTCCACCTATTTGATACTCATAATCACTCCTGGACGCTTTTCAACTTCATAACTAGGGGCTCATCAAAAATAACCCCAAAAATCTCCCTAATCTTCAACTCCCTGAATTTCTTCTCCACCAGTTCAAATCGCCTCACAATAGCTGCAATGGTTATGTAAATCTCGGCCATAGCAAGGTTAATCCCGATGCAGCCTCGTGAACCTTTCGAAAACGGAGCCCAGCAATTGTCTAGCTGCTTGATCTCGGCCGGGTTGTCTAGAAGCCAACGCTCTGGCTTGTAGGTACAGGGATCGGGGAAGACCGTCTCATTGTAGTTCATTAGGTAGGGGCTTGAGGAAATGAAGGTGCCGGATGGGATGAAGTGTTTGCCGTAGGTAAGGCCGGATTCGGGAGTTACGCGGGGGAGGCGGGACCGGACTGGCGTGCTGAAGCGGAGGCCTTCCTGTAAAATAATTAGCAGATATCCTATAGTCACTATTGGAGAAAGGGGTTTGGACTGGAGCTGGCGACGCACCTTGACACAAGCGGCGAGGTACGGTAGGGACTCGAGGTTGGATAGCTCTGCAGTGTCACTGGGATTTGGGATGGCTCTCTTTAGCTCCGCATGGAGACGGCCGTATACTCTGGGATTGGAGAAGATCTCGTTGAGTGTTAGAGTGAGCGTTGTCGATGTTGTGTCTGTCCCGGCAAAGATATCCGCCAAGCCATCAGCGACCAGAAAGTCTTTGCTTAGAGGGTAGTTCTGCGCAATAGAGGCTGCGTGTTCGGCTTGCAGGAGAGGCTGGAACCCCGAGCTAGACTTCCCCGTACTATCGTATCTTTCCAGTGCTTTTTGGACGCGCTATGGGAGAGCTATAAGCATGATGACTAGGGTGGTGGTGGTGTTGGACTCACACGTCTCATGCTTGGAATAGCCTGAAACACCTTAAAAGGTAACATGGACAGCAGAGTTATTGAGGGTTGACGAAGAGAAGGTATCATCATAAACTGAATAGCAATCAGAAAGTCGTTTGTCACATCAGAGGAGATCACATACTAAGAAATTGCTAACAGCGAAAGAATCGAACGCGTCCAGGACATCGTCATGGAACTCAGGAGAAAGAACTGCCTGCATTGATTCCCCGTACGTGAAATTCGTGATAAAATCGAGTGAAAGACAGCGAGACATCTTTGAGAGGTCAAAGGTGTTGTTAGCTTTGCCATGTTGGCGCAACACGTCTGAGAGCATATCGACTGATTTCCAGATCTCTGGCTCGAACTGCAGAACACTCTTTCTGGAAAATGGCTTGCTGACTAAACGCCGCAAAGTGGAATGTTCTTTGGGCTCTGAGCTCTGGAAGATCCCTGATGGCCCGGTCTTGAATGGGTCGTAGAAGTAAGCGGCCTGTCTCCAAATAGTTAGTGAATTTATTTGCCCACGAGAGCATTGAATCATACCTTCATATACTTGGGAGCCTGGCAATATAGGACGCGATTGTGTATCTCGATATCGTCAATACTGATCTCGTTAGGGCCGATGCGGACGATTGGGCCTTGATCGTTAGAATATGAGCCGAATGTGATATAAGGAGGTCGACATACCGAGACTCTTATGGAGCTTGGAAATAGACTGCGGTGAGTTTCCAGTCATGTCCTGTACCCATAGCCAAATACTTGAGAGAGCAGCAAGACGCGGCCCTGGGACATTGCGCAGAGGCGAGAATAGCAATCGGTAGAGAACGGATACAGCGCCAAGGCAGAATGCCAGGCCTGCTAGAGTGGAAAAATTATCCAGTACGGTCATGCTCGATGGCGTTCGGAGAAACTGGAACCTTCACAGACTGCGTCAGCATGGAACAGGAGTTCTCGGTATTTATTCATTGGCCCAAGAGCTATGGCGGTAGCCCTCATCACACCAGAGGAATTTTAAGTTTTGTCGGAGGCGCTGTCCGCAACTGGGGAGCTCTCTCCGCTTCCCCAGGAATGATGACTCCGCAGACTGGGGCCTAACCGCTCTAAGAAACACTGGTCAGAAGTAGCTGGCGCAGCCTGAGGCACGCTGGGGCCAAAATCTGGAGGAAAATTGAGTCCTCATTCGCCTTATTCTTATTCTCTGTCAGCGGGAGCAAGCATTAGCGTCGCGTGACGGCTATCGCCTAGTTATGGATCGGTGGGATAAGATTCCCTGAGAAGGTATATATTTAGTGCCATAGCTTTTACTAGCCAGATATGTGCATGACATTAAATCTAGCAGTCTAATGATAATATTCAGGAGCTTGCTTAAGCGACTTGAAAACCTCATAATCATGGCCGAAGACAATCTTAGCGTCCAGTACTACTTCCAATCTTTCGATGTACAGAGTTGACTGGAACCAAGCATTCCGGTCCCGTCCCAGAAGGCCTTTCATAAAGTTCACCGTTAACTGCGCGTATAAAATATGCTAGAACGTCACTACTAACCTTGGGGAATTCTCTTAGTGTAGTTCTCTTTCACGTGGAACTGGTCACCGGTAAAGATAAAGCACCCGTCATTCTCAAGGTCTACTTGGAGACAGCACAGGCCGGGGGTGTGACTGTAGACACCTTGTTAGTTGCACGCGGATTCCAGAGCAGTATGTATGTATTTCTCTCTTACCCTGGGCAAAGATGCATCGTTAGTCCGGGGAAAAGCTCCGTGACTGGGTCTTTGAATGTTTGCCAATTCAGGCGGTGGTCAAGGTATGAGGGCATGTATGGACCCGCGTCAGCCTAACATATATGATTAGTCGGCCCATCCGAGAGGGGTGAGAGTATAAGGGAGACCAGTCGAACCTTGGTGAAAAGGCACCACAAGGCATTATTGAGTTCCAAGTCATGTACATAGATAGGAACATCTGTGCCAAGGAAGTGCATTAAGCCACCAGAATGGTCGGCATCTGGGCTCGCCACCAGGGTTAATTAATTCTATTGCAATAGTGATGGACGGAGTGGAGTGCATACGAAGATGACCGATGATCACCGCTCGAATATCCTTGATGGAATGACCAGTTATCGCGATCTGCTCGTCGAGCCGGTTTTTCGAGGCGTATTGTTTGCGCGGCGATACATCGTACATCTATCCCGAGACCGATCAGTTCATATCCATCGAAATCATCCAGCAGCAAGAGTCCTGACCGGGCCCCAGTGTTTCTCCATATCATCGTGACAGCCCGTTTCAAAGAGAATCAGACCGGCCGTGGCATGCGCAATAAGGACCCCGTATACGATCATTTCAATCCGCTTGTGGGTTGGATTTGGGTTGCTCGCCGAGCCAGCTGGACAGACTAGTTACGACCGCTGGGAAACTCGAACCATGCTATGACCTACCATTCTCGTGCCCTCCCGCAAGCAGGAAGTTGGCGTCGATGTGCAATGTTCCCATGTCAAGGAGCTACTAGGTCAGATAACTTCCATACTCGCTGCAGCGATGGAGAAAGCCCTACCCACATCTTTGTGCCCACTGGGCATGGCGAGAAAGTTGGTCGAGGCATGATGTTGGTGGAGATGTTGATATCCTGGTGTGGCGACGAGTGCGTTGGGGTATACAGCTAACGATAAAGAAGACAAGGCTGGTTGTTAAGACGAAGAAAGCTGAGTAATGGAATTTGCCCGAGAATTGAGGGGATTAGCGAGCCATGGCCGTTAATGTCGGGGCAACATCCCGATGAGTCCCTCAGTGGAGTATCTACAAGAGTCCGTCCACACGAGCCGCCACCCTAAACCATCCGCCTAGGGTGGTAATTGCGGACCCCCTCACCGAAATCATACAGAGGATGAAGTATATGTTGAAAGAGACTTAGCTCTTCTCTCAGGTCTAACTCTGGAATTTCTGAGTGTGAATATAAAACCGACGAGCAAAATGACTTGGTCTATGCTGATACGCTTTGCCGATGATGCGAACAACATTCGATTTGGAGAGCCGAAGATCACTGAGGCTAAAGAGCTCTCTGACCTGCTAGCCATGGGAGAGCTCTATGCCACCGAATATGTGGGGGACAGTCCTCTTCTTCTGTCCCCAGGCACACAAAGTTTTCGCGTGAAGGAACTCCTTGGAGTTCTTCAGCCGCGTGACGTGCCTATCATCCGTTGCATTGGTCTCAACTACATGAAACACAGTAAGTGAATTTTTACCCTGATCCTCGTTAAGTTGTCTAACAGTATTCTGGCGGAAAGTCAAGGAAGGAGGTCGTGCACCTCCTCCCTATCCTTCCGTATTCATAAAGCCGTCGACCTCCATTGCAGGCTTCCAGGAAGATATTCCTATTCCTAAACTTGCACAGGATGACCAATTGGACTATGAAGGCGAATTGGTACTCATATTCTCTACACGTCCCTCCATTGTACTGACTTGTATACTAACAACGCCACCAGTCAATCGTGATTGGCAAGACTGGTAAAGATATTCCTGAGCGGGATGCCTTGGATTATGTCGCTGGATATTGTTCATCAAACGACGTCTCTGCCAGAAAATGGCAGCGTGACCCTGCTTTTGCGGGAGGTGTTCCACAGTGGTGTTTTAGCAAAGGCTTTGACAAGTTTGCAGCCCTGGGTCCAATGATCGTGTCGCCAAAGGTAAATTTCTGTGTTCTCCGAAAACCACTATTCTTATAGTCAATTGGTGACTAAGTATCGGTTCCAGGTTGTTGGAGCTGCGGACAATCTCCGACTCCAGACATTCGTCAATGGCGAGCTGCGGCAGGACTCCAACACCAACGATCTCTTGTTCGGTGTGAAGAGGATCATTAGCTTTGTGAGCCAGGGCACCACCCTAGAAGCAGGCACCGTGATCATGACGGGAACTCCGGCCGGTGTAGCGATGGGCATGAAGGTCCCCAAGTATCTGAAGGACGGGGACATGGTGGAGGTTGAGATCGAACACTTGGGAAGGACCAGGAACGTGATGAGCTTTGAGTAAGCTTATAGACCGATAATCCTTAAATACGGTGCTACGGTTGAGATAGAGAATCATAGTTGTATGGTGTCAATTATCGAAGCAGAGAACTCCGCTCTTCTGGTGTTTTAAAGCGTGATGTATGAGGGTCAGCAGGGCAATTTTAGCTGTTGCTTCACCTACTATTTATTACCTTTGGTACCTAGGGTCGGTTCGTATCGGAGCCATGGTCCGGATGCTTTAATGATGGTGATATATAAGAAGTTGCCTACGTCGCATGTATTTACACAGGAGGATATTCAATTCCTTCCCGCAAAACAAGCTCCAAAATGGCCACGAGCGTCCACCGCGGTTCTTGCTTGTGTAATGGTATTATATTCGAGATTACAGGAGCACCCCAGTCAGTCTTCGCCTGTTACTGCAATGACTGCCAGAAGAACGCTGGAGGGCCATACCAAATTGTGAGTTGAGCTCTATTTGGCCTGGGCTATCCATAATTACCAAATTCGTTGCTCTGACAAGAGCCTAGTGTGCAAAGCTTGAATCCACTCAGATCAAGATACTATCGGATGAATGTGTGGCACGGGTCGGCAACTGGGTCATCGAGGAAACAAAGAGCGGGCATAACAAGGTTAAAGCGTTTTGTCAGCGTTGCGGGTGTACGCTCTGGACTATTCCTATGCATCATGAAGGGAGGATAATGGTGGTCAGGGCAGCTTTATTTGAGAAAGGGTGAGCTATCTATTCTTATTGGCTAAGGTCATCAGATCCTTCCACAGCAAGAGAGTTCTAACGGTCGTGCACAACACGATATTTCTTACAGGCTCGAGACTTTCAAACCTACTGCCGAACTATTCGTGCCATGCAAGCCTTCTTACCTGGAGAGTATTGGAGGGACGAAAAAATTTGATACTATGCCGGGGTACTAGGAATAGCGTGTTTCTACGGAATTCATGACTGTCTGATGCAATGCTAGGATTCAGATTAATCAGAGGAGGATGCTAGCTTACTCCATTTAAACTGGATCTTAGGAGGAGCGAACCATTAGCAGCCCTTTAGCAGCCCTAGTAGGGACGGTCACGGAGTCCATGATGAGGCGTAGTACCGTTCAGATGCTCCGAGCCAGAATCGGACCCCAGATCCGGGAGGACCAGAGTGCGCTACGCCTGCCCTTGCTGACCGGTGATTCTTAACGAGTTGGGTCTGATCAACCAATAGTCCTCGGAACCGCTCTCCGAAGGCAGCACAGGAGAGTGGAGACCAATACAAAGAAAGAATGTGAGCAATTGTTATAACTAGCTAGGATGCATGTTACTTTCTGAAGCCGAATCAAGTCCTGAGAAACACTATGTCTACGCCAACTGCAGTCCCAGAAAATTTCCTTACCGCAGTTTCTGCAAAGCATTCGGCACCGTTATGGACGGTGCTAAGCAAGATGGTGCCGCCGCATCCTAACCCCAAAGCCTCAGCCGAGGAATGGAAATTCGACGAGCTAAAACCTCTGCTGATGGAAGCCGGCCGTATCGTCAAGGCAGAGGAGGCCGACAGGCGCGTTTTGATGCTAGTTAATCCTAGCATGGGTGGGTACACCTGGCCTCTTATTTGATGTTTATCGTTCCGCGAACCAAGCCTGACGTGTTCTGCGCAGAGGCTCCGTATACTACAGATACAATCTACGCTGGTCTACAGCTTATTCTTCCCGGGGAGACTGCGCCGGCTCATCGACATGTAGCATTTGCCCTGCGCTTCATAATTGAAGGCGAGGGCGGCTTCACTGCGGTGGAGGGATGTAAAATCCCCATGGCTCGCGGAGACGTGATCCTCACTCCATCGTGGCATTGGCATGACCACGGTAATGAAGGCAACGAGCCTATTATCTGGCTCGACGGGCTGGATTTACCTCTCTTCAAGAACGTTCCCGTCAACTTCGCAGAGAGTTATATCGATCCCCGGTATCCTAGCAAGTATGTAGTTTGTGCGGCTGTCCCAGGCAGACAAATTATGTCATGATCTAACTCCCACTTCTCTACAGACCTGTTTCAAGTAGCGCCCAATCTTTCCCCTGGCATGCCATCCAGGAAGCTTTGGATTTTGAAACAGGCCCCTACGCCATCTATCACTATCACCGGATTGGAAAACGACACCTTTCGACAACTATTAGCGCCCAAGCCGAGAGATTGGCTGCAGGGCACAGCACGGATGCGACTCGGGATACATGCTCATTTGTCTATCACATCCACTCAGGTTGTGGCAGAACGCGTGTTCGAGCGGCGGATGGAGAAGAAAGGGTGATTCAATGGAAGGAAAAGGATACTTTCGCCGTGCCCGCTTGGTCGGAGGTCCAGCATACCGCGGTGAATACGAGCTATCTTTTCGCCATTAATGATAGGCCGATGGTGGAGAGTCTTGGTCTACACAGGCAATCATCGTAAGCAGATAGACACGGAGAGGTATTATTGCCAAATTATGAGAGAGTATACAAACAGTACACAAACCAGTGTTTGGTTGGTTTTATTAAAACACATAGGTTTCTACCAATCAAGCCCAGTCCGGTTGAAAATCCATCAGCCTCTCAGGCCCCAGCTCTTGACCACGCGATGTGACTGTATCACGATCAAAGGCGTCCCAGGAACTAAAAGAACTGTGCAGTAAACAGCCCATTGTCGTCGTAGAAAACACTCCCAATTCTTCCATATGGTTCCGATTTACGTTGCTCGTTGTATCCTGTATTCCAGCATCGGGCAGCGCATTCAGGGGAACCCATGCATCCAGTCCCATACTGTTTCCTAAGCCAACATGATGAAGGCGTGTATCCTTACCTTGTCCTGTCGCGAGGGTACTTAGCGCCATCCCTGGGTTGTCACTTTCGTCGTTGCTGGCGGGAGGGCTTTTTCGGTAAGGTCTGTCCTGTAATTTGAAACATGGTTAAGCAAATTTTGAAATCTCGTTAAACTATGGGACTTGGTCGGTATACAGGGGGGAGGGGGGGGGGGATGTACCTGCTCATATGCAACCTGATGTAATTGCTGGAGAAAGAATTTCGCTTTGCTGTAATTTGTCCCCCCCCAAAAAAAGGACCAGAGAACGAATTGTCTCGAGCCCCTTGCGGATGGTTTCCTGAATCACGGCCACATCGAGGATTATGGCGGCCCTGTACTCAGTCGGAAGCCCTACAGCACCGAGGAGGACACATAGAGAATCGAAATTGACTGATCGGGTGCTTCATCAGACGGTTTTGAACAAGGGATGCGGGGTTGGGAAGCTTACAATGAAAGTCCCACCACCATGCGCCTGTCAGATTGGCGGGGCGGTTAACACTAATCGCGTCAATCTGCTGCTGCGCAGATTGGACACATATTTGAGTACTGAGATAGGCCAGCAAGCTCTCAAAGTTGGACTGAGGCCGTATGACAGTACCATCACCAGCCGGTCCGTGGATAAGGTCGGAAAAGAGTGGTGGCCAGTGATACGACGGATCGATAGCGCTCTCCATTGATTTAGGCGGGCCAAGTAAGAGGATGATAGTCTGGCGGTGAAGCAAAATGCGCAGTCCGAGAACCCTATTTTCGAGGACAGTTCTACATCACTGTATCCGCCAGGGTTGTGGTGATTCTTACTACTGTGCGCCGTCCAACGAAATCGAAAGTAATCAGGGAGAGATGCATCCCAAGATACTAGCTGTTCGTCAGCCTTTAACAAACTTATTAGTGACTGCAATACGTTGCCCTGTGTATTGAGTTCGAGAGACGAGTCAGATCGTCCACTGGGTGGTTGCAGCTCTTCCGTGATCTTGTCCATCACTAGGTAGAGACGGACGGTGCAGCGAATGAAGGCGTTCACCGAAGGGATTCTATCAGGTTGTGTCTTGCCATCGCGTATGTATATATCATCAATCGACTGAGGAAGCGGGGGATTCGAGAATCTGGGGTGTAAAAGAGTTGGCTGACGACCATAGATCATGCTGGCCACCCTGACATATCGAGATCTTAGCATACATCACCATAAACGACAGTCCATGCGACAAGACATACCTGTCGAGGGAAAAACATCCCCACCAAAGACGCCTGCCAAGCTCACGATCAAGAGGGGCTTGCGAGCAGTCCCGCGAATCCAAGTGCAAGCCCAGGCATTGTGCAATCCTTGTGGCATGGCCGATAGTAAGCCAGCATTGCTTCCCCCTCATGGTACCTTGTTGATACTGCGCCATCAGCAGGAGGGTCTGCAGCATACTGATTGAGCAGGTATTATATGTATGAGCGACGATAAAGGCGCGGGCACACCTGTAGAAGGAAGTACCGGAGCCCATGGTGCTCACTGGATCACCGTCGGGAGTCATGTTGCGGCAGAATAGGCAGCCCAGTGCAAATATCAAATTCATGGTCGCGATAGCAACTGGTTCCATGGGATTTTCGGAGGTGTACATCTTGTCGAACTGAGCAAGCGTATCCTCTTCGATTAAGAAAGGCCAGATAGGGTGGACATTGAAGAAGTAAGCCTCCAGCAACTGTTTCGCAACATGTCGATGCGGTATGCCTGAGAAGGATGGCATGGTGAGGTATGACCGCAATGCGGCGAGATCATCCTCGTCATCCCGGGAGCTGGCGTTCGCTTGAAGGAGGCCCTGTCTAGGGGGCAAAGACTGGCCTGTTGTGGTGGATACAGACATCCTTCGGGGCATGGTCGAGGCCTTGACGTGCATGGCAAACCGAAGAGAATAAGAATCACGGTAGAATCCATCCGTGTCTTTGCCCTGTTGCGGCGACATGGAGTATGCGACCATTTCATCTGTTGCTGGCACCTGGTCTGCCGTTTCCCTTCCTTCTGTCTCATTTTCGCTGATGGTAAACGTCGTTACCGGGGGCCTCGGCTCGGGGGCTACAGGAGTGTAGTTGTTGTTTCCTCCGTTGATATCTGTGGCCGCGACGTTGGCCTGTATCCCGGTGAGACATAGCTGCGGACTATTCGATCGACTGTGGGAGCTGTTTGGGGGCGAGGCGATTGAGCCCTGTTGATGCCTGGTGATCGTCTCTGGTTGGGGGTTTAATTGAGCTTCCAATTCCTGTATCTTCGCTTCCAAATTATCCACGTGCCTACAAACTGTCAGGACCTACGTGTCAAAAGGATTATGAACTGTAGGGACGTACGACTGGGAGCAGATCGCCCTCTTGTATGGCGGCGGATAGACACACTCCTGGTTACGGCCTTCACAAAACGAACAGCGCGGCCGTTTCGAATCGCATCGGGCTTTCCGGGCCTTGCAAGTAGAACACGCCTGGTGCACCTGATTATGCGACCGATCGACCGTTTGCTTTCTTTTCGAAGGTACTGTGCGTCGAGGCGCTGGATTTGGCGGTGGTGATTTTGCGGAGTCGGACATGTCGACGGTGACCTTCACCTAACGGATGGTGGGTTGTTCGAAGAGAAGCACAGGCGCAAAAATTAAATTACGACCGATGCACACTATCTTCACCTACTTCGTCCTGAATGCGGGGTTATTTCCCCAACCACGGGAGTCTGGAGAACAGGAACGAACTTCTCCGCAGATTTTTAGTGGGTACGTGCGCCCCGTCCCCACATGATGACTACGTACGGGGCGAATAATTAAATGGGTTCCAGCGGAGGGTCCCTCCGAAGCGATATTACTGGCAATTGATTAGCTGAGAGTTTGTCTAGTTATTGGGTAACAAGTAGCCATCATGAGAGCCAGACTCGTCCACCGCAGGGTCTAGAGATCTTGGCTGAAATTGCTGTCAGTTACCGTAATCGTCTTGATTTGTAGAAATTCGTCAAACGCTATGAGAGAAACGTCAGAGTGGGTAGGAAAATTGGAAATGGAATTCCGCCTCAACTCACCCCAAGGGACACCAAACCGCCCCCATCCGCTTGACTTGGTTCCTCCGTGAGGAAGCTGGACTTCATCGTGCACGGTCATCGAATTGATGTGGACCGCACCACTATCAATTCCGCGCGCAATCCTTATTCCTCGCGGCACATTCTTGGTAAACACGCTGGCGGAAAGGCCATATTCGTGTCCGTTAGCCAAAGCGACCGCCTCATCTTCGGACTCGAAGGGTAATACGGCGAGGGTTGGGCCAAAGCTCTCTTCCGAGTAAAGCCGCATCGATGGCTTCACGCCAGTAAGAATGGTCGGATGTAGGCTCGCCCCGTTTCTTTCTAGCTTTCCATAGACCAGTCTACCCCCTTGGTTAATTGCATCTTCAACCAGAGCTTCGGTTTTCATGGCCTGCTGATCAGACACAGCCCAACTGCAGGGAATTCGTGGCGCCTCGGCTGACATTTTAGCAATCAACGTCTCGGCCACGGATTTATGAACCAGGACAGTGTCGGTTCCCATGCAGATTTGCCCATGCTGCGAAGCGTGTAGTTAGTTCATATGGCCTTCTGCAGTCGGCAGGACAAGCAATGAGTGACGGCTTACATGCACAAATGCACCCATCACAGCGGCCTTTGCTGCCTCCTCAAGGTCAGCATCTTCAAACACAATGAGCGGCGCCTTGCCACCCAGTTCCAGAATGCAAGGTTTCGCATATTGTGCAGCCTTGGCGGCGATTACCTTACCCACCGCTGTACTCCCAGTGAAATTCACTTTGCGCACGGCCGGGTGGCTAATGAGAGTCTCGAAGATCTGGGCCGCGTCCTCTCTGCGGTGCTGGATAATATTCAACACCCCAGGGGGGAAGCCAGCTTCTTTCAGTAATCGGCCGAGAAAGTGATGCACACCCGGACAGAGCTCCGATGCCTTCAGAATTGCTGTATTTCCACATGCGATTGGCGTTATCACGGAGCGAAGGGCAAGAAACAGGGACGCGTTCCATGGCGCGATGCCGAGTTGGACTCCGTATGGCTGCTTGACCACAAATGCCATCGTATTCGAGTCACGACAGTGCGGCAGGGATCCGGTCGTCATATTTGTGATCTGGCCAGCGAGCTCTTCGAATAAGGCGATGCCATTATTGATGTTGATTTCCTCGACCATGAAGTCCGGAGCGGGGGTCTCCAGCTGCCACGCCAATCAGTTCACATCCCCGTTGGTATAATTTTGCTAAACATCACACACTTGCCTTGATAAGCTCTGAAATCTCGTGTCGTCGATTGTGCAGAATGCGAGCAGCAGATTGTAACAGCGTCCGTCTCTCCCATGGCGATGTCTTGGACCACGTCCTGAAAGCCCGCTGTGCGCTCTCAACAGCGGCAACAGCTAATTCTGGAGTCGCCCCATTCGCTGCGTGGACAATCTTTCCTGTTTTTCCGTTGATGACAGGGAACTCTATCGCACTGCTAACGTCTTCATTGTCTATCCAAAGAGCTTGGACGAGTGCCATCTTTCTGAATACTGATTGTAGATGAATACGGAGTTGGCTAGCAGTCGTCTACAACCTAGTTGGCACCATCTTGAATCTTCTTATGAGACATCCTCTACCCACTGTACTGATCTAACCCTTCAGGGTAGATTTCACGGCTTGCCATACCGTAGATCTCTACCGCGGCCGGACGCCCCGTCGGAGGTACGGGCCGAAACCCTATCCAGAGGCAGGCTTGGGAAGACAAGGCTGATTTGAAAACCGGGTTTCTAAAGCAGGTCTAATCTGATCTTATCTCTACTATTCTTTCTACAGGCTGGTGGCGGTGTGTTTGAGGCTCTTAAAAGTGATCCGATCGTGCTCACGAGGGTTTTCCGCCGCCGAGGAAGATCATCAAGATGTCTGAAATTGTGGATATGCTCGTCTGCCGCGAATTAGGTGGCCCGTACGAATTGCGAAAGGTCCGATTAGGGTCACTTCGAAACGACGAATTACTTGTCCGGATTATCGCAACTGGTGTTTGCCATACCGACTTTTCCTGTTGCAATGCACGTATATTTCTCCTAAAATGTGCGTACGCCTTCCGAACAATGGCTAACTGAAACTAGGGTACCACCCCAGTCCCCCTACCGCTGGTTGGTGGGCATGAGGGTGCTGGTATTGTAGAGCAGGTAGGCTCCGAAGTCACGGATATCTCTCCCGGTGATCACGTATTGCTCAGCTTCAGCACCTGTGGTGAATGTGCTCCTTGCACAAGAAATCTGCCGGCTTACTGCGCAAATCTTTGGAAATTGAACTTCCTTGGGGCTCGAACGGATGGCACAAAAGCGTACACCGATGCCATCGACGGGACAGAGATATCCTCGCACTTCTTTGGCCAGTCGTCGTTCGCGAAGAAGGCCATTGTCAGAGCCACATCTGCGATTCGGGTTGCGCCAGACCTTCCGCTGCAGACCCTGTGTGTTCTTGGATGCACGCTGCAGACTGGGGCCGGAACGGTCTTGAATCAACTCCAACCACCGCGAGGAAGCTCTATTGCGGTATTTGGAGCTGGTGCGGTCGGAATCGCATCGATATTAGCCTCACAGTTAACGCCCGATGTCAAAATTATTGCGGTCGATGTGCTAGCCAGTAAACTACAGATCGCGAAAATGCTAGGAGCACATTACACCGTTGATTCAACGAAAGAGAACCCTATTGCGGAAATCCTTGCACTTACAAGTGGTTTTGGTGTTGAGAGGGCATTGGATACAACCGGGCATCCTGAGGTTATTAAAACAATGCTGTCAGTTACAGCACCAGGTGGCACTGCTGCTTCCGTCGGGGCGCCAAAGATGGGAACAAAGATTGACATTGAGCCCGCCATATGGATTACTCGGGGGGTAAGCTACATAGGCGTTCATCAGGGGTCCTCTCGACCGCAGGAGGTAGGCTCTATTCAAATTTTTCTGATCGCTATCTGTCACTGATTCCAAATATAGTTCATCCCCCGACTGATCCAGCTATGGGCAGACGGGGATCTACCAGTGGAGACGATGATCACGGAGTATAAGTATACGGAGATTGAGCGCGCAAAAACTGAGCTGCGAGGTGGCTCATGTGTGAAGGCAGTTTTGCTCTGGGACGAGAGTAACTAATTCCACATTTGTTCTTCCATGTGTTGAATTTGAACGTACCCGTATCATTGACTACCCACCCGTTTCCACGTGTGCGTAGTCCAACTTCCAATGCAAAAGACTTTTAAGGCAAAATGGCTACCTATTCTTTAACTATCTATATCTCTCAGCCACCATAACTATATGAAAATCTTATCCTGAGAACCAGGATCGAATTTTACAGCCTGTATAGTCTACAACCGTGGTGAAGTTTTAGAATTGTAAGTATTGTGACGGTCAGTATTTTCCAAGCCTGGGAATACCTTCGTTCCGGGTAACGCCTGAAGTCTCTGTTTGGCGGTGTGTAATGTCGGCTTATTTGCTGGGTTCTCGAGTCCTCTCCTCCTGGCTGACCTTCCTTTTCTTCTCCTTCCTCTCCAGCTTCGGTACTTTCGCCTGTCGGTAACCGAAGTGATCTGTTCTCTTTGATTGACCCGTAACAAGTAAAGGCGCGTCAATAGAAAGAGGTGATAAGGGATACCTTCGAAGATTGGCGATTTAAATGCTACACAACCTATTAAATAACAAAGACAGTATATTAGTAAAATAAGACTTCTAAAGTACATAATAACTAATTTCCGGGCTATTGGTAGTAGTGAATTAATCTATCCCTCACTGCTATTTTGCACGAGATTACTAGCAGCTCGCGGCCATGCCTAATGTATATCATGCGATAGGCATATTTATAAGCCTGATAGCTATTAGACTAATGGCTTAGTTAAATACGTAGTCGAGGTTTTATATATTGAAGGCTTTATTCTTAGATCTGAGAGGTATTACTTAATAGAATCATAAACCTACAAGAGAAAAATTATCGCAGTATTAAGCGGCTTCGAGAAGCGAATCTTAAAGAAATAAAGGGGCTATATACTGAACGTAGATAAATCACGAAGATTATACCTAGCGTTTGTAGATTATAAGGACCGTATCTACACAATCCTCGCTATCCTGATAAGATCTCCCTGCAGTTAGTAGCAAGCAGGTATACATGTTTGATTGATAGATAGATTTTTTGCATTATGAACTGCCCACGCATGAAAGGGGCATGTAGTCAATGCCACAGGTAAGCCTCAACCATAGAGTAAACAGATCAGTTCTCTACCATAAAGTCGGCTGTAATCCAGCTGGAATTCAAGGCTGAATTCTAAACACTGCCCAGAAGACCGAGTATTACACGATTTCGTCCTTCTCGCCAATTTCAGGCACTTACAAAGCACCCCACTCCAGGTAACTAATACGTGATGGGTGTTAGTATCACAGTGTGAGCGACGGGGATAGCGTCCGATAGCTTCGGCCCGGGAGACCGCAGTGGCCTTTCACCAGCCGGCGGTGGTGGATTGGACGTCGGCTGTCGGAGAAAGCAGTGTGACTATATCTAGTGATGTTGCAGTGTCATGGAATGATGAAACTGTGAAGACTTGTTTTCGCATCAAAGTATTTGACCACATCATGTCTGGACAACGTTCAACTGCTTTTACCGGCCTCGGACGTATCGATGTCCATCATCATTGTTTTCCGGGAACTGTCCCGGAGTTGCAGTCCGAGTTTGAGAACAATTCCTACAATCTCAACTATTCCCCATTCCCCTCCACGCCGCAAGAGCATATCCAGTATATGGACGAAGTTGGTATTCAGACCGCTGTTATTGTATGTCTTATGAAAATTACCCTAGTATTGGATTCGACTCCTAACGTGATTTTGTATTTGTCCTCAAGACTCCATCTATCAAGTCCGAGTGGCACAACGGTTACACTGCCCCCGATTTCCTCGAATTATGCCGCAAGTCTTTCCAGGCTCAGCTTGAATACGTTTCTTTCAATCCTCTCCGGTTTGGTATGGGCCCCCACCGCAAGGTATAGGGACACTATTAACGTTGTAACAAGGCTGTTTCGCTGTTCTTCCGCTGCCGCATATTCGGGAGACATTAACCTTTATCCGCGAAGCATCCTCCGCTCTAATCCCCCCGGATGGTTTCGCTGTGACCACCGCTATGGGTATACAGTCACCACCATCGTATCAGCTCTATCCTAGCTAACGATTCATCTAGGCCAGCGCTATCTGGGTGATCCCGCTTTTGAGCCCGTGTGGGCTGAGATCAACAAGCTTCGCGCAGTCGTCTTCATTCACCCAGCGGACACGATCATGCCAGAGCACCTAAACTTTGGCCCATGTAAGTCAATCATGCAGTATTTAATGGTCGGGCGTGCCACTGATCCAGTAACACACAGTCGTGCAGGAATTCCCCTTCGACACCGCCCGCGCTATCACAAGCATCATCCACTCCAGTATCCTCGTCCGCCATCCGGACATCCGCTTCCTCTTCTCCCACAACGGCGGCGCATTCCCGTACCTGGCTGACCGAATCGGCCGTCAGCATCTTGACAATGTCATCACCAAGACAAATGAGGGTCTGACTATGCGTGAGCTTTTGGCGACGAAGAATATTTACTTTGACACCAGCATCTCCTCCCCCATGCAGTACCCAATTATACAAGATCTCGGTATTTCGTCGAAGCGTCTGCTCTATGCAACTGACTACCCGTACACCAAGCGCGATGACAATATCACTTATTTGGACGGCTACAATGCGCCCAAAGATTCTGGACTTTATGACGAGGCAGAGATGGAGGGTATTCTGCGTGAGAATTCCCTAGAGCTGTTCCCACGCCTTGCGAAATTGTATGCTGCGCTTCGTTAAAGTGTTTGCAAGCTACGAGATTTTTTGCGTTTAGAATTGTGCAAATTAAGTTCCAGAAGATTGAAAAAGGAAAATTATATCTGTTTCGAGGATAATAGTATAACTAGTAATTCAAGTCTCTCTCTAGTGGTAAACACAATATATATAGATGTGTTGTAAATTTTCCACAAATACGTGCCGGTGTCAGATCCGCTCTTGAGAGGATATTCCATAGTGACTCAAGTTAGAAGCACTGGGTATGAGATATTTGGCAGTAGTAAATACGGGGACTTTCTGATCGTAGGCGCTAAATCCTGCATTCGTTCTGGATCATTATCGATGTCGCCTCGCTTTTATATGACAAATTATCTTCTTTTGTATTCATTGGTGATACGCGGAGTGTTCAATGGGGTTTTCAGCCTGCGCTGGATCGTTTCGTTCAAGGAACAATCAATCAGTGACACAGTCTTAACTAGTCAAGCCTCTTGTTTTCATTCGCTCGGTTATATTGTCGCCGTTTTAGTTTGCTTCAATAATATGCAATGTTTGCTTCAGTGCATACGTGAACATTGTTGACATAGTACGGTAGGCTACTTACCATCGCGGTGAATCGGTGATCAAACAAAGTTGGTAGAATGCGCCGGTATAAATCCTATCTACTCTGCCGCGGGCCAGAGTATGATCACCAAATAGCAGGATAAGGCCGCCGAATAAGACTAGTACGCCGTGAAGCGCCTGAGAAAGCAGCCCATAACATCTGTTTAGTCTGTTTACCATTGATCAGGAGTCCAAGGACACCACGTTCTGGAATTTGCTTACTCCGAGGCGTAAAAGTATACTCGGGATGCTCCTCAATACCCCATTCAACCGTACACTCGTCAGACTTGAAGACTCAAGCCCAATTTTCACGGGAGAAGGTACTAATATTCAAGTGCCCAGTGCAGACGTGTAGCAGCATGTTCAGGGCTTAACTCTAGTCGGTCAAGGACGAGCCACTTTCGGCGGCCTTGTTCATGCATTACACGGCAAATTGAGGTCGTTTTGACCTTATTTGAGACACCATCGAGAAGATCCTCGATTAAAACGTGTGCGTTGTCCTCAATCTTCTTAATATCGTTTTCATCAAGCTTCCGAGGACGCAAAATGTAAGGACGTGCACCATGGACGAGAGTCCTTCAACTAGGTAAGAAGAAGAAGAAGAAGTAGAGGAGTGAGGAACAGTAGGGTCAGATTCAGAACAAGACTGATTCTTGGGTATTGTAATGCACAAATCCCCGATGCTATTTAAAATGACCGAAACACAATAGACTTGACGGAGTTTCCCCACCGAGTCGTCTTCAGCGGGACCTGCTTGCAGACACGAGCTAAATTCACGTAGGATCCAGTCTCCCTGTAGAACTCTGCACGTCTGAATTGTTGCTGTTTACCGCAACTATGAATCGGAGAAGACCTGTAACTCCCCGTTGGCCATTCTTAGTCCATTGCGAGGGTGCCCCTTAACACAGAACGTTGTAACGAGTGATTATCCACACGCTTGAAACCCCTAGGAACCGTATATTTAATAGTAGATAGCGGAATAGTTAGATGTTCCTTGAGGATTCGAGGGTAAGACCATTTAGGAACCATCTTTAGCTCAACGAGCTTATTACGCGTAAATGGTCAGGTTTCTGGTTGCGCCGGCGTGGTGGGCGTATATGGGACCCAGGAGTAGGTAATATAGTCTGATTTGATCGAATCGCTGGCATATTAATGAGAAAAATAGGCGATTTGAATGTGTATGTAGCGGAAATCATCAGATGCAGGCCAATTCACGTGGTGCATGTTACTCTAGTGGAGGTTTACTAGGTAGAGACGGTGGCCGAAGACTTACGAAACACTGCTGTACTGAATGGCCCACTTTTCTTTATGTTTTGTAAAGTAATCTGGTATCCTTGGCATCTTGGTTGTCTTAACCTCGAGTATCAGAGCCGTACATGTGGTTTGCAACCTCGGTACACTCATTCTAATTCAATCAATCACCATTTTCATCCAATATTGGTTCCGCTTGACCCAATCCTCTATGTCATTCGCCTACATATATTACTACAGTAGCCTATACTGTCCCAGCTTGCTGTGACAATATATTATTACTGTTCACAAAGGATCCAGGATCCGATTGGGAATGATTGAAGTGAATCAGATTCCCCGACGTGAGTTGATTGATACCATTGTGCTAGAAGGATATGATCTGAGGCCTCTATAATAAACTATCCGTCAACCTTTCCAGTTACAATTTGCTAGGTCTACGAACGCTCTTGAAAGCCCCACAACAGCCGAATAGTGGAGTAACGTTATTGATTACCCAATATTACTATTGGTTGGCCAATAAGAGTTGACCGCAGGCTTCGGACACACTGTCCGAGGCTGTGGGGCATTAGCCCCAGCCATCCGGTCCACTCGGTTATGGTGTCCAACCCTGCTTCAAGGCTGATAATGGATCTTAAAAGGAATCAAAGGATATCATTTTAACCCTAAAAGAGTCCTGAGGAGTCCACGAGGTAAAATGCGCAGCCGTACCCCCTTTCCTGAGTTACTAATCCATACAAGGAAAATCACACCAGGAAGAATCCACTATAATAGGCCTCACGCTCACCATCAACCGACCCCCTCCCTCCGTGTGTGTTCACGACCAGCCGCACTGCTTTGCTTGGTGAAAGATCATTGTAGTCTGGTGTACTAGGTCTTTTATTTCGTTTGTCGAATAAAAGGTGAATCCAGTCGTCCCAAGTGTGCATACCCGTACTGACGTCGTCAGAGACTGCTTGTCGGGAAAGGCACTTTTGGTTAAACAACTAGATTCACAAAAGCCTCCTCTGGACATGATCCAGCCTCAAGAAGAGAGAAAGAGCCAACGTGGAAAGTATACACATCGGGCATGGTAGGTTGACAAATCACATTGGAAAGGTAGCACAGACTAACTCCATATCTGCAGTGAGGAATGCAAGAGACGCAAAGTCAAGGTATGGTCTCCATCATACAAATATCATCACTAGCCTGCGGCGCAAGACTGATTCTGTTGGGGGGGGGAAACAAAGTGTGAGGGTGATAGACCATGTTCACGCTGTAAGGCGAGAAACCTCCAGTGTGTTGTGAAACCAGTTTCCTTTCGAATTCACAAACGTCACGAACCAAAAACTCATCTATCGTGTCCTAATGATTCTATTTCGGCGGAAACACCTAGTATTACTGGTCCACAAGTTCTCGATTTTTCTCACAAAGATGTCAACTTTTTGACTCCCGTTTCTTTTGACGCCAACTGCCCTGGAGATCTCAGTACCCCAGATGTTTCCGCCACTGTGCCTCCACCATCAGGATCTGAAGATGTGGATGGTGAGGAAACATCTAGCCACCAAAACCATATAAGAGATGGAGATCTAGTCGCAATGTCGCTGGAAAGACCCTCCATTCACACAGAACAAACACTCAATTCTCTCGAGTTGGACTCTATACCCTTGAACAGCTGCTCAAATGTTAATCTCTGTTCAGTCCTCATGTCACACGGAGTCTTCCCAGATAAATGGGGGTGTGATAAGCTTTTATCCAGCTATTTCCGAACGATACACATACTAGATCCATTTCTTCACGCCCCATCCGTTTGGAGGATGTACAATAAGCTTTGGTCTCGAGTCTACCGGTCCAAAACCAACAATGGCGAACAAGAAAGTCCTGATGAACAAACTTTACTGGGAATTGCCTTCCTGTGCATGGCAATCACGAGCTGTGAAATGGTCCCAAGAATAAGTAATGATACACATCCGGCTTCCGATACCACTAGTTGGAGGCTATACAACGTGGCAGCCGAGTTGTTGCACCCCTTGTTGGAGGCCAGTTACAATTTTACGATTACACTTCCAAATCTCCAAGCGCTTACCTTACTGGTAATATCCCTTTCCCAGCATTAAAGGTATTGCACTACTAATTGAGGTTAACCAGGTTCTATATTATATCAGATCGGGCTCACGCGTAAGAGCCGAACGAATTCTCAGCCATGCGATCTACGGTGCCCACACCGCCGGCCTCCACCAAGAAAGCACTTACAATAGCATAAACACGCTTGAGAAAGAGCTGTTTCGAAGAGTTTGGTGGGAGTTGTATATTATAGACCGACACCTCGCTCTTGAAACAATACGACCTGTAGTCATTCGGGATGCCGATGTCAACGTGAATCTCCCATCTGACCTTACTGATAGATGGCTTGGGAATCATGGGCAATCTGGAAGCTTTGGAAAAGGGCAAAGGACAGCAGTTGAGGCCGAAGTATCGGCAAAACAAGAATCGACCAACATACCATACTTGAAGGCCATGATCGCCTATTCTAAGGTCGTCGGGCATGTCTGCCAAGGGATCTCTACGTTGAAGACATCAAAAAACGATCCAGAGATCACGCGTGGATACCTAGAAGCTCTGGTGGAGGAAAGCAGCATCCGACTCCCGTCAGACTTGATGTACTCGCCGTCAAAATCGGTTGAAGAGCCGTTTTATGGACTAAAGGACGTCCAAATCACCCAATCAATGCTTCTTTATACAGTGAGTTAGCCCCGTCCCTTTTTTTGGGTGTAAGAATATTGCTAAAACGCCATCTATAGCAATATCTCCTCCTCAAAATTCACATACAACGATCCTTCCTCAGTATAGCCTCTGGACCACGACGCTGGCTTTCCAATCGACTCGCTTGCATTACTCATGGCGCGGCAATAGTAGATGTATTCGAGAAAAGCCCAACCCCGTACGGCCTCCCATTACTTCACTTATTACTCACCGTCACAACGATCTTGTTCGACATCGCGCTTGAGTCTCCGCAGTTAAAGGAATATGTGCGAATGCCAATGACAATTGCTGTGAAAAGGTTATTTGTGTATTGCCATTTGATACGGAGTAGTGGACGAACTGTTCAAGCCGTATTTAAGTTCCACGAAGCACTTCAAAGTGGCTTACTCAACCGCACCTACCCGAGAAGCCTGGGTCAATATCCCTACTCCCAGCCCCATCTTCCGACTAAGACGGGGCCTCCGTCATCCCAAGTGTCACCTCAACTGCCGATTATTCCACATCATGACCAACATTCTCACATCCAGGAAGCTGTGGTGGATATGCACGAGAGAAGGGTCGATTCAAGCGCGAGCACAATGGCGGGTGGGGATTTCCCGGATCTCCCAGCCTGGACACACACAGCAAGCAGTTATTGCTCTGGAAGTCCTCAAGAGATCCTACATTCGAATCTTAGCGCAAATCGGCCGTATCTGAGAGAGATTTCGCTAAATATCGACTCAGACATACCGTGGCTGTTTTCTTCACTGTTGCCTGAAGACTAATTGGGGTTCTTACTAAAGGAGGAAGATATAATAGAGAAGATGTATTATTTGTGAGTGTGCTTTGCTGTAAACATATTTTGCAAGGTATTCTCACTTACTGTTGGTGGTGGATCAATCGTTTCTTGATTGAGCCGCGTCTTTTTCTTGACAATCACATTATTCTGATTTCTATGAATGCCCAGTATTTATCGACATATACTGATATGTATTTGAGTTCATAGGTGTATACTAGGGCAATGCCAATTATCCTGCTCAGTAATCGCACATCCCTGCAGCAGCGTTGTAGAGATCGCCGTCAATGTGTTCGTATGTGCTCATGGTATTAGTAACCTTTAAATTCCATGCCAAGCTTCTCTAGTCAGTTTCTTTAGTCCGCGTCCATAGTTACGATAGTAATGGTGAGTGCCTGGTTGGTAGCAGATCAGGTGCCCAGGCGCAAATTCAAGCAGTCGAAAAAGTGTTTGAGAGGACTGGGATTGTCGAACTCGAAAACACAGTCCGGAAAGATCCCGTAGAGAATAGAGTGGACGAAGGAGTATGATTATGCGACACGCATGCGTTGGGTTGTTATAGCTTTCGTGGGCTTCCGGAGACGTATCTCCTGAGATAATCCCGTCGCTCAATAAGCAAGAAAACTAGCCGTATTTAGAGTCGTAACCGCTAGCAGAGCTGAGGAATTTTTCCCGGTCCAATATTTTTTATCATTGACATGCTCGAAATCGTTGTATGACAACTGTACGGCTACCTCTTATAAAGGGCCAGCAGAGGAGACAAAAGGGCAAACCCGGCGCTGGTAGTGGAGATGTCTGGCAGTGGTCACATGTCAACAATATATTTCATCAGCAATTTTCCACAATTCTAGAGTGATTGCAATGAAAGAAAATGTTAGTAAATGTTACGCTCAAGCACGAAGAGACAGACATCAACCAACGTGATAGCATTTGACGAAACAACTAAGCATGGGGAAGGAAAGAAGGACATTTTGCGAGAGGACGAGAGACGATCTAAATACATGAGGGATGCTTGCGGCAGCAGGCATCAAACCAGGCATCAAACATCACCACATGTGAACCGTCACAGTAAATAGTAGTTGCCGAGTTCATATTTTAGCAACAGAATGCTTATCACTGAAACGGCTGTTTGCTTGAATGGGAGGACCCAACTTGAATAAATGTACCTTAACCTACCTGAGTTAGTAATTTAACCTTGTAAGGCTGAATGCCGTGTGAGGACTCACGAGAATGGAAGAAATGTGGCAGTCAGAAAAGCAAGGAGAGACACGTTGACCACTGATATCTCAACGAAATCTACTAGCAGAATAGATTTGAGCATTTATAAAAGACTATTTCCAATTCCAATCTGTTCTATATACGAAGTCGCCTACTGCGTGATTATCGCCAGGTTGGGACGCAACCAGTATCAACATAGCTTAGATGCGATTTAAAAGCCAGAAGAATTCGCAATGCAAGGTCAGGAATTCGAAACCAAGAGACAAGAAGGAAATCAGGGTTAATAGCATGTACAAAGGATGACTGAACATCTCGCAGTGGTGGCCAGTCCCAGAGAGACCCACCTTCCAGGCATCCCTGCGATCAAGATGGCATTTAAGGTACATTGACAAATTCTGGGAGGATACCAAACAGCAATGCACATCAGACCCCGCTCTTCCAGGTAGTTCACCAAGTGGGGGTTCCCCTACGGTCAGAAGCGCTGGTGTGCTTTCACATCGGCCTCGGGTTCCGAAAAGCCCGATATCGGTGTGCAGAGCCAATTCATCCTCGCTTCCGAGGATTTGACTGCAATGATAAGTGAGCCAGCGAATATCGAGTATGCAAATATTAAAATCAGTTTATATGAAACTCTAATCCGTCCGCTAAGACCACCTGGGTTGAAACTTTGCGCATCGAAACCGAGGGCGTTTCCATACGCTTTGGGCCTTCGCCCTCCCACATGGACTGAACGCTATTGGTCTAAAGTTCACCGCCCGGGTACGAAAGGAAGAAAGAGCAGGTACATTGAGTTCCTGCAGGTGGGAAATACTTTGGCAAAGCTTGATAGTCTGCACTTGCCGTAGAACTGAGAACAGAAGCAGACATTGTACTTGATTTACTTCGTGAAGATTCAAGACCGAGGTTGGGGTACGCGACTTACAAGCCTCTGGCAGGCAGTGTGTGCTTCCGAGGAAAGATTGCTAGCACGCTTATGCCAAACGAATTGTACCATTCTCCCCCTTTGATTTCATTTTGCTCTTTGTATGACAGATAGTCATCTTCGTCGATAGTATAAAGTATCCTCCATTCAGAGGTTATTCCAATCCTGAGCCTCTAACAATCCCTTTTCGCGAGCTTGGCCAAAAGATGCAAGAGAATTTAGTGCTTTCTGCAATATTAGCGAGGAAAGCCGCTCTTAAGCGAGAACTCATGACAGAACCGTGGTATGCACAGATTCTCTTATCAGTACAGCATTTACAGCGCAGAGTCATTAGGAGGTACTACCACTACCGTACAGTTTTTGAACAACCAGAAGAAGTCGAGTCTCTTGCACCGTTGGAATCATGGATGGAAGATCCTTTTTATTTATTTATTTATTTTTTTTTTTTTAAAAAAAAGTGCCCCAATGGTGGCCCACTGGCTATGATTACTTGACTGCAGAAAGTATTCAATACCCAGATAGGTTCGAGAGGCAACCTGGGATGTGAACGCTGAATTCGGCTTATGAACAGAGTGACAGGCCATCTTGTGACATCATGCGTGTTGTGATCACCACGAGAAGTGTCCCTTGGGAATACTGCGGAACGAGCTCGAAAATGCCAATATTGAAGCCCGGAGAAAAGAGGAATCATGCAATAGATTGAAATTACATGGTAAAAGTACAGTAAATAATTCACTGGGATATAATATCATTCGTCAACCCGATTATTACCGAGTTTACAATTTTCAAACATGAGCACCAGCAAGACAGTTGTTTGAGGAAGATATGGTAGCCATCATTACTCAAAGAGCCATATTGTGCGAGGCAAAGTCTTCGTGATTATATATTCTCATCAAAGAGTAGGAAATAGACATTTCTGGGAAGAGACAATGTTGAAGAATCCTTATACAACAAAAAGCCTACATGCAGGTGCTGTGGATCGTATTAGACTTGTTCCCAACAGACAAACAAGTTCACAAATTTACTATATTATATTCGTCCGCTAAAACAGATCTGCACGAGTCGCAGCCTACTTCTCCAACCCTGATTCATCAGAATTCTGGTCGTGCACAAGCTGCTCATCACAGGGCGGCTATTCTGGACCGTGAATGAAGCACGGTGTGATATTAGTGACTATTGTAGCAACGCCACTGAATAGGTGGAAATTAAATCATGTGGACTTTTATAATTGGAAACTATGTATCAAATTCAAATATAGAACAGACTAGTATCGAATTTTCGAGTGAGCGGAGGACGCTGAAAGAAAATAATAGCGCCCAGTCTGACACCTGGCGCCATAAGACAGATCATTACCACTTGCATAAGTGGAGACTTAATGCCTGAACAAGGTGTATTGGGTAGTACTGAAGATATCCACACGAGATGGATAATTGATTGAAGGTGTGTATATCGGATGGGTGATCTTGGGCCTGGATAATGTTACAACATCATACTTCCGAGTCTGCCCGGAATACCACACAATTACTAGGGGCATTGAGTGAACGATAAGCCAGCCTCGAAGTGCCCTAGTGCTATTTAATCACCCACTTAGTTAATTCATTTATTAATTATAGCGCCGCACGCCTCATACTAGCTATAAAGACTGTGAGCACCTCGTGTTCAATGCATATGCGACTCTTGCACCTACGTCTAGTGTCTGGTGTGGAATTTCACTGGTCACATTTTGACTCTTTCCGTAAGACTTTCCTTTACGATTTACTCAGTCCCTTTATTAACAATTTTCTATTCTCATAGCCTAATACTAGAAATGGTGACTCCAAACATCGTTGAATTGGAATCAA